GCTTTGGGCTTTGCCTAGCTTATTGAGCTTACTGTCAATGTTGGACCTATTCCCTAACATTACTCCCCCTTAGTGTTTGATTCAGGAAACATTGTGATTGTTATTGTGGCCCAACATTGGCATTGACAAGTTGAATTCTAAATTGTTTTTAACAAGAAAATCCACAAGGCGGATTGGGCCATGTGATCCGGTGATGAGATTGCTTGCAACAAACGCTTTTTCCAAAATCTTATGAACTGGGCTAGACTTGGCCCACAGTAGAACTTTTACAAGCTCATCGCTTGTGAGCTCACCCATGTGAAATTTGAAATCTTGAATCCACAATGAGTCTTCAAGATTTTTACACGCAATGAAAAATGTTTACAAGCTCATCTCTAGCAAGCTCACCCATGTGAATTTTTAAAAATTGAAAAAAAATCTTAGAAACAAGTCTTTGAAGATATGCTTCAAAGAGGTTCATATCCCCTGGCCCCCCAAATAAATGCTGCATGGCACTTTAAAGGACATGACAGCTAAAGTCAGCAAACATTACACACCTAACAATGAGCAACTACCATGTGGAAAGTTTTGATTGGCCATGGAAGAGACGTGGGTATGATTTCCAAAATACACATAAGCTAATGATTAAACTAGAAATGGGAAGCGTTGCAGAAGGTGTTTGGCCATTTTACACTTAGAGTTCTTCATGCTTAGGTTATCTTTCTACCAGTTTCACCAAAGCTTACATGTTTTCTAGTGAAGTGAAAAACCAGAGAAAAGAATAAACACCTTCAACAAAAATACAGGTAATAATGGAGTTTTTTTAGAGAATTGCAAGAAATTTGGGGTCACCAAGAGAGAGGAGAAGAGGAAAGGGTGATATCTGTGGAGCTGATTACAATGGTAGTACCATCGGCATTACAAGACTTGCTTGAATCACTAATGTCGGAGAGTAGTACAAATTCAGGCACTGTTGGTGGTTTTGGTGGCTTTGGTGGCCAAAGTTCTTCATCCCTTGACTCCTAATCTTCCTCTTATTGGCCTCTAGAGGTGGCGGCTATAGGCAACGAAGAAAAGGAAAGGACGAGTGGTGGTGTTGCAGAGGTGGTAGTCATGGAGGAGAGTGTGCCCATGATGGAGGTGTGGGAAAATACACCTCTTATAGGCAAATTGAATAACATCCATAAATTGCCAACAAATTTGCTAGCCGAATTTAAGTTTAAGGTTACTTTCCACCATGAAGTAGCTGATGGTGTGGCCATTGTGAAAAGGGTGCAAAATTTGGAGACAATGGTAAAGCAGTATTAGATTCCAAGTATTGTGTTGGTCTGAGCTGCATCAAAGAATGAGCGAGCCTACTCAATATCTGGAATTGGATGAGTGCTAGTATACTTGGACGATTTTGAAATGGGCTTAAGGTTTCATCTACCAGGGATGATTTTTGACGTGCTAGCAAAGTATAGATTGGTGTTAACACAACTAACCCCAAATTCTATAAAATTCATCATTAGGTTCATGTTGTTGTGTGCAAGGTTGTAAATACTCATGACGTTCTAAATACTTGTGAGGTTGTAAATACCCACAAGATCAGCAGTGTTCCAGTCCATTTTCTAATGCAAATAAAGCAACAAGAAGATGATGTGATATTATATCTCTAGAGAAGATAAAATGATAATTTTTACCAACATGAAGAATAAAGTGGCGAGTTAGAAGAGACAATATATTTTTGTTTGTGATACACAAACTGAAAGGATGAATAGCGAGCTTGCTACTTGAATATCTGAATGGTGTTCTCCTAGTGTGTACATGAATTATCCAACACTAGGATATGTTGATGTAGTTATGAAGAATAGAATTTTGTGCCACATTATAGAGGAAGGTTTGGTAGATTTGAATGCCTTGGTTATCTTGAAGCAATTGAAGGCATTTAGGTTTGTGGACACCACAAACCTTTACATCCCAAGTACATTTATTTTGTAAGTTTAATTTTTAATCGAGTTGAGTCTTATTTGTTTTTATCCCCGTAGGGAAAATGGCAAGTAGGCTGGATAGGCAGAGACAACATGCTTAGAGGGTAAGGAACCAAAATGGTGCATCTAGCTCGCAAAGACAAACTCGCTTTGATGAGCCACCAACTAAGCATGCTCTGCACTCATCCTAGCGTAGGAGGAATGGTACTAGCTTGGCTGTCAAGGAGTCTATTGGAAGAAGACCTGAGCCAAAACCCAGTAAGTCCTGTAAGAGGGCACGGTAGAAAGGTGAAGCTATTAAGGAAAGTGCTTCTTCTTGACAAAGGGCAGATGTTGTGCCATGCTTAAGAACTACACTAGCCATTCCCACAACTCCAACCACTAGCAATGATGACATTGGGCCTTCACAGGCACAATGGCCTACCCTTAGGATCATATATTCAAAGGGATTCAACTATACTAAGCTAGAGTGCCATCTAGCACTTTTACAGGGTATGCAACATTTTATCCTTCAACAGACTAAAAGAGGGCTGTGGACTGGTTGGATCAACATGGGAGCAATGCTATCATGCTCAAGTTGATGGACATAAGTGTAGCTAATAAATGCTTTTTATGTCTATGTTTCATATGTTCATAAGCTAGCATGACGAGCTAGGTGATAAGCTTTCAGTTATATAATGGCTATGTTTGAGAATGAGCAAAGGTTGAAAGCCAAGGTACACAGAGTATCTAATAACTGCTCACATGCTATTGTTGATAAAAAGCACTTGTAGGAGGAGGTAAGCCATCTCCAAAGCTCCAAGATGGCTAACCGAGTTGTTGCTACAAAAAGCTAAGCAAAAGAGCTCAACAAGCAAGTGGTTGGATTGAGGGAAGAACTAGATAAGGCTCTGGCTGAAAGGGAGAACTCAATTCTTGCCTCTAAGGAAAAGGTTGAACGTCATATAGCTAGTACTAAGGAGTGAGCAAGAAAAGCGGAGGAAGAGAAGGACCACATCTTTGCTGAGTCAAACATTTTGAAGGCCAAGATGAGTAAGGCTAACAAAAATCTAGCACATGTCCAAGGCTTTATGAGCTAGATGCAAAGGGTGTTCAAAAACTCTATTAGAGTAGCACGAGCTCAAGGAGTGGAATGGTTCCTAAAATTTGATGCATGCAAAGATGCTACTGCCATTTCCATAATGAATACCACAAGTGAAATATATAACAAAGTTCGTGGTAAGGTTTTGCCACATCACCCAGATTTCCAAATTGGCAAGCTCGCCTTTATGGAGAAGGAGGCAATGGACGAGCAGGGAAAAAGCTTTACTCCACCCTTTGACACCACTGTCAACGTGGGTGGAGCGTGGATGAGGAAAATGCTCCCCTATTTCCCCTAACTCTACTAAAGAAAA